ACCTGGAGGATGCGACGGCAGCCATAGTGCGCCAGAACCCTCACCACACATCAGCTATCAGTGGGGAGGAGAGCAGAGTAATGTAGCCAATTCATAGAGGGGGATTATTAGGAGGCCATGATTGGTAAGGGCCAATTGGAAATTTGGCCAGATCACCAGGGTTACACCCCTAGTCTTTTCGAGAAGCACCCTGGGATTTTTAATGACCACAGAGAGTCAGGACCTTGGTTTTACGTCTCATCCGAAGGACGGCGCCTGTTTACAGTATAGTGTCCCCATCACTATACTGGGGCATTAGGACCCACATGGACCGCAGGGTGAGCACCCCCTGCTGGCCCCACTAACACCTCTTCCAGCAGCAACCTTAGTTTTTCCCAGGAGGTCTCCCATCCAGGTACTGACTCACACCTAAATTTGGAGATGTATGGTTAATGTAACAATCTTGTGATACTGGGGAATAAACTGATATTCTGAGTGTTATACCTCTTTATCTTTTAGTGGTATGAAAGATACACAAATATCATAAAGCTGTGTTTGGGGGAGTGTAGCAATGCTTGTGAAAGGAAATCTGTAAGTCAAACAGTAAAAACCCTTATGTGACTTTATAAGACTTTTGCTTTTGTCTACTTACTAAACCAATTTAGCTGGCATGCCCGGAGAAAAGGTGGCTCAAGTTGTGCTAACAGATCAGGGTAACCCTAAAAAATGAATGAGTTTTGGTGTCTGTGTTTATTGATGTCTTTCATCAATAATTATGAATTCAGGAGGTGATGATAAAAATCATCATCTTTACTTAACATTTTTATAGTTCTATTCCATAGGCCTTGGGACAGATGAACAGAATGTCTCCCAAGGCACAGAGCTTTAGTTTTTAGAACTGAGAGAAGAACAGAGTCCAAAGAGGGCAAATGTTGTATAAGGAGATAACAATTCACTGTTGTAGTCAGGAGCTGAAGCACTGAACCCCTTAAAGAGGTGCAGTGGTATTTTGATTTTAAATCTGAGATCTACGGGGAGCTAGTGAGAGGAAGTGAAAACAGAACAGATATTCCCAAGTATTTTAGTTTAAGATATTTTACAAACAGCTAAGTTCAGAACATGTTGCAACTTGTTTATGACATTTTTGGATACACCAGCAAACACTGCATTACAGTAATAATGCCTGAAATACACAGAGCTTGCATTTGATTCTTTGCACAGATGTGGACTAATTCCAGCCTCATACTCAGTCTAAAACTGGTACAGTTGTTAAAAAGAACCAGTCATCATAACACCTTGTTTAAAGTCCAGATTACGTTCTTTTTCATTCATTTTTAATGAAAATTACTGAAGAAATTACTGTATACCATACTTATGAAGACTTTGCACAGTGGTAGAATATATAGCAGATACAAAAATCAATGGGACCAAGAACAGAGTCCTGTGGAACACCAACTTTGTCAAAGAAGAACAATGCCAAAAAAGTCATACTGTACATTGTTTATAATCAGTCAGATAAGATTTAAACCAAAATTTAAAGCTATCAATCCTGCTAGGCGAGGGTGAGGAAAAGCAAAGGAGTCTTTTTAACAATAATACATTTGGTCAATGTTCTGTGGTGGCATGGTGATGCAGTGATCAGCACTGCTGCTTTGCAGTGCTGAGACCCTGGGTTCAATTCTGGATCTGGGGTGCTATCTGCTTGGAGTTTGTATGTTTTCCTGTGTTCATCTGTGTAACTTCCAGGTGCTCTGGTTTTCCCCCAGAACCCTAAGTCATAGTGGTATTTGTTCTGTCTTCTATGACAATTGACCTTGGTGTAAGTACAGTATACTGTATGTTTGTGTTTGTGCTTTCCCTGTAATGTACTGGTGTCTTGTCCAGGCTGTACCCTGCCTTGTGCCCATTGCTTGCTGGGATAGGCTCCAGGTCCACTGCAACCATAAATTGGATGAAGCAGTTAAAAATGTTCTGATAATTATTATTGCAACACTGTAATTCATGGTCAAAGTTGTTTGAACTTTAAATTTAAATCATAATAAAAGCAGTTAGAATATATACTATCATATTAAAGCAGTTAGAATATATACTAAAGACCCTAATCTATTCAGATAGATTGAATTATCAACAGTGCCATGTCTGTTTTCTCGTCAACATTGAGGTCCAGCAGAGCATGAATGGATATATGTATTAACATTATGTTCTTGATATGTGTAAAGAACAGGATTTAAAAAAAAATCCAATCCAAAGACCAATCAGAATATTTTAAATAAAAAAAACTAGATTTGACCTCTCAGGCGAACACCTTGCCCTCCTATAGTGTGTTACCCTTAGATCTATACCACTAAAATAGTCTTACATGTTTTATATTTTTATGCATGATGATATGTAGATTTTTAAGATTTGTATATGAATTTTCTTCATATGAAAGCATTTCATACTTCAAACCTTTCTTCATGGGTGAGTGGGGTTTAATATGATTTACAGTAGTTCAGGTGGGGAGCTGCGTCATCATTCGTAGTCTGCAAAGGAACAGGTAGTGATGGGTTTATTCCATGCTGAAAAGAGAAGATGGAAAACACAATGTTTCGGCTGTGAAGTCTTCTTCAGGTGTGTGAAAGGCTTCACAGCCGAAACGTTGTGTTTTCCATCTTCTCTTTTCAGCATGGAATAAACCCATCACTACTTGTTCCTTTAATACGATTTGTTTGCTGAATCTTAAGGGGATTCCAGCTTCCAGCAACTGCGGGGCTTCTTTTGGTAAACATGAAATCTGAAGGGAAATGTATTGCATCAGTGACTTGAAATGAACCCAATAAAGCACAGTGGGAGGTTTAACACATTAACTAAAAACTGACTATCACACTCAGTGCAAGTGAAATATAATCACAGGCAGCAGCTTTCATTTAGTAGACAACAGGCTGCCATGAAAAATGCCATCTGTGAAAGGGGTGATTAGAGCACGGCAGCTATCTAGGGTTGCCACTTACGTGATGTTGCTGGGACTAATACATTTTTCATGGGGGAAAGGACATTTGTGCTTTAGCATTCAGGATGGGGGTGGGGGGTGGGGAGGGAGGATGTCCCTGCAAACACTGAGTCTATGGATCAATATCCAAAAAAAGCCCCAGGACAACGGTATTGGTATTTTGCAAGCAATGCCAAACCTTCCTTTTCAAAGGAAGGATCACTGCAGTACTGCCTCTTCCTACTACATCGTATAAAGTAAAGCCTTCTTCAGGGGTGAGGTGTCTCCACGGCTGAAACATTGTGTTTTCTTTCTTCTCTTTTCAGCATGGAATAAACCTATTACTTGTTCCTTTGCAGCCTACGCATGCTGACGCAGCTACCCACCTGAACTACTACATCCTATAAAGTAGATGTGTCAATAGCCATAAGAACATAAAAAAGATTAAAAATGAGAGGAATTTATTTGGGGAATGAGAGACCTTTAGATAAACCATGTAAGAAATAATTATGTGTAGACTGCACAGTTGTACGTTATCTGCAGTATGTAGCATAATATAACAATTGCCCTTTTACACAACTAAGCTTACTTTCTCTTAAACAGTAGATGGTCCCTGGCCTTTATATCTGAAATACAACTAGAGCAGATTACCTAACAGCAGTGTTGCATATTTTTGCATTAACAGTATGTACATTAAATTACCTAGAATTATTAAGCTAAGCCAACATTCAAGCTAGTTATGAAGCTTTCAAGATAATGCAGGTCCTAGCATTGCAATGTTGCAATCTGGATATGAATTGTCCATTTGTGTGAGAAAGAACGATATAAGTTTTAAAGCATTGGCTTCCCCTATTAATATATTTACTGTACACACTAAACAAAAGGGAGAATAGTATACCTTTAGTGGACGAATAACAGTTTTTGACATTTTAAGTTTTGTCTTTGATTAATACACGGAGCCATCCAAGGGAGAAAGGAAAGGCCGTTTTGATACAGTGTTACAGTGGTTCATATTCATTATGAATATTGTTGACCTTGAGTTATTCAGAGCTGTCAGAAATGCTGGGCCACTGCAGAAATTTAATTCAATGTCAGTTACAACATAAATGTTGGTGCAGAATTTTGTAAACTCCAGTATTATTGTGATATTCCTTTGTGATAAAGTAGTACCTAAATAAGTGATCAGTCCTGCTGAATTGGCCATTTTACACTGTGCTTCCCATGACAAGATGCTTCAGTGAGTAGATTTATGTTGCAGAGCCTCATGAGGAAATAAATTGCCCTCAGGTAACCTAGATACTGTACATCAAAACATACTGTGAATCTAATACTTAGAACATCTTACCTTTTCTTTGAAATCCTTTCTTGATTGCTAACTTATGTTATCATCTGCCTCTACTGTTTTTTGTGTTACATTACCCTGTTGAGATATTGTAGCATTAAGAATGTAAAAAGGTTTACAAATGAAAAGAGGCCTTTTTGGAATTTAGTAGCTCCAATAATTGATTTGAGAATCTTATCCTTTGATTAATTTAAAATAGCCGGGGTGTAAACTTCATCAACAATATTGTTTGAGATGCCCACAACTCTCAGGGTAAAGAAGTGTCTCCTGTCTCCTCTTCTGGGTTTTAAATTTACGTCCACATACAGTAGTTTATGTTTGTATCTACTGGTTCATGTTTACTGTGTGTTCTGAAGAAGCCTACTGGGATGACTTTTTCGGTGCCTATGAGGATTTTGGGTCTTAATAGAAGGAGGATTTCTTTTATTAATATCCTTTATTTTCTTTAAAGAAAGCATCTTATTTCAAGCAAAATACGTGATAAATTCCATGATTGAATCTCTTATTTCTTTATTTTGGAACAAAGTTAACCGCCGATTGGCTTTTTAGGTTAAAGGGTACCTTAGGATAGGATAAGGGCTGTTTTTTAAAAAAAAACAATTGAAGAATTACATTACTTCTGCTTTTTTGTGCTCCCTGCATATGTCAGTCTTTGTATTCACTGGCATATGGACTCGTATCTATCCTGTTTTTCCTTTGTCCTTTTCTTAGCTGCAAGTAAAAACTAGTACACAACAATCAGGATGAAAAGATGGCAACCCTGTTGTTACCACCGGGTCCTGACAGCTTGCGCCGGTTCACACGTGAATCCCTGGCTGCTATTGAGAACCGGATTGCTGAGGAGCAGGCCAGGAATGCCAAGCAGGAGTACCGAGAGGATCTTGGTGACGTGGAGCCACCAAAGCCACGAGCCGACCTCGAGGCCGGCAAGCAGCTGCCGCGCATCTTTGGCGACATTCCTTCTGAACTCGTTGGTGTGCCTCTGGACGATTTTGACTCTTACTACTACAACAACCAGAAAGTAAGTGCCGTGTGTATCCATGTAAGTAGGCTGCTTTACTTTGTAGGGAACAGGTAAAGGTTTGTCCCATGCTGAATCAAAAAGAGACGCAACGTTTCCACTGTGGGGCGTTCTTCAAGTGTGAAACTCTTCTTTGCTTTTCAGCATGGAATAAACCTTTACCTGTTGCTTTGCCACCTACGCATGCTGGTGCAGCTCCCTACTTGAATTACTTCACTTTGTGTTTATGTCTTAAGTGTCTTTTCTGTCCTAGTGTGTATTTCTTATTTAACTTGAGTAGAAGAGTGTATGAGATTTATCCACCCCTCCAATGTGTGAGAAATTTTCATTTAATTTGGAGATGTTAATTCAGATAGCTTTCACTTTTTTGCACCATTATCCACCATTTTAAAAATGTCAAGAAATGGATAAGCAGTTGTGAATATTACCCATAGGTAAAATGTACCAATACTCTGTTGTGCCTTTTCATATACCATATAAGACTGACATTTCTTCAGATGTCATAAACCAAAATTATACTTTTATTTGAGGAAAATCATAGTTCTACTCAGGGTAAAGGATACTAAATTTTTTTATTGGTGTTTTAACACCAATAACATAACATTATTCGTCTCCTTCCCTGAATTTTATTGAAGGAAACTAATGGCTTCTAATCAAGTCTGATGGCTGAAATATGTTTGAAAACGGATTAGTTTGGCTTGACATGCCAGTTCACGCACCTCAGCCAAGGAAGAACTGAATACATATACTGTAGCTGTTCCCTGAAAATTGTATTGTGAGGCTGATCACTTATTTTTTGCACTGCCATTTCAGTGCAGTAACAGTGCATCATAGAGTGAACTGAGAGAGAGGTCACAGCTCCACTCAAAATGCCTGGAGCCGAAATTTGACAAAAGAGCAAAATGTCACTGACTAGAACAACATACTTTAGTAGAGCAGCTCTGCTCCCTGTCCATTAAATACAATGAATACTTGGTCACGTTATATTTATTTAAAGTTAATCTATGTTTAAAGGCTATTCCAAAATAAAGAATGCTAGTTTCGTGCTGAAGAAATGTCAAACTGTTCTGATTTACTATACAATATACTATATAATATACAAATTTACTAAACTCCATATAACTACAAATATGACACTCGCCTTATTCATGTCAGAGCTGAGTATGAACCCTTTAAACTTACACGTTGCATGTCACATTTTCAGATACATGGAAAATTTTAATGTCTGATGAAGACGATACTAGGTGGTTGTGCACATAAGCGCTTCCACTGCCTAAATCCTAAAATGAATTGATGTAAGGAATTTGATGCACCTTACATATCTCTGTGGTCCTGTTATATAATGTCCATTTACCTTCATCAGCACTGTCAGAAGCCCCTGTCTTTTTTTGTTTTCTTGCCTGTTTCACGTGTTGTCTTCACTGAATTTATTGTCTAGCCCCCAGAACATTTGTCAGCTTAATAAGCATTCTCAGTGACATTGACAAGGCATATCTGGAGTGGATGAAATCACCACAGGGCATTTGAGCTGAAAATGTGTCAGGAAGCTTTCATGTTCTGAGGAAACAAAGGCTGAGGTGAAACATTTCCCTTGAAGAAGCCTACATGTGATGCAGAGATTATCTAAAATGGCCACATTAATCCTTTATCTGTTGTCAGTCGACTTGTCTTGGTGCTCATTTTACTGAGTTATTTCCCAAAAGACTTGGGGTTAACAATAGTTTAAATTATCATGAAAAAATTGTATTCATCCATTAGTTATTCATACTGTATAATGCCTACCAGAGGTTTTGGGACAATGAAGTCTAAACTGAGATTTCCTTTAATATTAATTTCTCATGCAAAATCATGACTGATACTGTACAGTAAATATAACTTATCCGGATTTCATTTTTAATAAACCCAGTCAAATTAGTTGCATTGAACCAATTTATTTTAAAGGAGTAAAAGTATTGGGATAATTATCTTACAAGTGGTCTCTTGGTGGTTGTTACTTGTTGGGTAAGTGGGTTCATTAAAGAACTTTGATCTTTCAATCAACCTGTCTTGCTTTTAGCTTGCAGTTTTTGTAGTTGGTAATTAAAGATCTGAAACAGGGTCCATATTAGAATTCCCCTGAAACTTCAAAACATGATTACAGGATCACATGTCATTTTAGTGAAGTATTACGTAAAAGCTATAAGCATATTTCAAGCTCAGTTGAGTGGTTTAGAGCACTCAACTTATCCTTAGACCACATTGCAAAAGCACATAACTGTGTAAGCAAGCAACCTGCTAGTAGAGAGAAAATGCACTTCAGTTAAAAACCCTGTCTTTCTAAAAAAACATCAGGATATGTGAGGTGCTGTTTAAACACAATACAGACCATTTCCGATCTTTCCTATCTACTCAGTGATGCAGTTACTGTATCTCCCCTGGCTGGCTTTGTTGACTTTCTGCATCTGCAACTAGACGTTCTGCAACTAGGGAAGTGAGCAAATGGTGGATGTTTCACTTTGATAATTAATGCTGCACAAGTGGCAGCTAAGCCCTGTGGAATAAGGAATGGTTTTGGTTTCTCAAGTATTCTTTTAACATAAAGATAAATAATGATTTCAACTTATTGATCTCCTAAAAGGAGAATCTTTTTAGCTTAATGGTTTATGCTTTCTTTTCAATCAGGTCGAATCAATAACATTCAGGCCTTATTTTTTTAGGTTTTCTGGAACTATGTACATAAAGCTGAATGAAAAATGTGAGTTGAAAAAGGAAAGAGCTAACCCATTTTCCCTCTGTAAGAATGGATAACATTTATGGTTTTAATTGAGTTTAAAGACAGGGATAACTTTCAAGAATTGGTCAATACAATCACAAAGCGTTTCTTGCTAAGCCTGGCCTAAGAAGAGCTGTTGCCTGTGGAAGTGGTAGGATTAAGAGTTCATTTTTCACATTTGCAGAGTTCCAATGTAATTTTTATTGAGACTTCCTTCTGATTGCCTGTTTGGGATATAACAGAATCTTGACCTTCTCAACATGAGCTATGTTTTGTGCAAAAGCATCTCGTGTTGCTTAAGTATTGGTTATGTCTAAGCAATCAGTGTTTTGTTTTTGTTTTTAACAACAGTCTTTTTCTCTCCACAGACTTTTATAGTACTGAACAAAGGGAAGGCCATCTTCCGATTTAGTGCCACACCTGCACTGTATATTTTTAGTCCCTTCCATCCTGTCAGAAGAGCATCAATAAAAATTTTAGTACACTCATATCCTTTATATTTTGGTACAATATTGTGCTTTCCTCTGTTTAACGATGGAGGTATTATTTGAAGATTTATGAATGGTAGAATGTAATCCAAATGTGCTGCATTGCATGAAAACTGTCAGCCAAGTGTCTTTTTTTAATTGGTTTTCCGAATTCCAAAATGATTCTTATAAGAGAATCAAGCTGTGGTGCACTATATCTGACCCTGTTATCAAATGAGTAAACAGAAAAAAAATATTTACCTGAGAAAGCATTCACAAGTGTATCTTTTTTAGAATATACATTTCTCTTTTGCACATGTATGCTTGAGTGAATCAGGGCAAATCTGCACAGCACTTGTCAAATAGTTCTTGTACATGATCTAATAGCCTTACAATATAATTTTCCTAGAGAATTAGTGCTGTTTTTACTAGATTCTGTTTGTAGTTAAGTTAATAAAATACAATTACAAATTACTGCATATCTGCATACTGCATATCTTAATTTACTTTTTAATTATACATGTATCCTTCTGGCGTAATTGCAGAGACCTGTCTGCTGCAAATTTCCTATGGACTCTAATGTAAAAATGTCTAATGACGTTTACATGTGCAGTAATCTACAGTATAGTGTTCTCTGTCTGTCAGGTCTAAGCAAGTGGAAAATGTAAGCTTTTATTTCCTCAAGTTATTTCTACTTGTCAATATCATAGATTTCTGTGGAAATCACGTAACTCATGTTAATAAAGTTGTCAATATGGAGAATTACAAGGGTACTAGCAGTGACTAAAATATCTGAATTTCAAGGTGTCTTATTTTTTCATGTAGTTTTGTATGAATACAGTATATAATACAATTATACAGTATATACTAGACCTAATTTATAAAGTGCTGTTTACTACCCAGAAAAGATTATTATTCTGTGCTACCCTGGTTATATTTCCATCACATGAGAGAAAATGAAAATGGGCAGAGTTCAAATTGATTTAATATGGGGTACACAACCTTGGTTTGAGTATGAAACACCTACTGTATGTCCTCAGAAGGTTTTTAAGGTATGAGCAGTCTTCACTACATGTAAAAACACAAAATGATAATGACTACTAAACAGTTGGGATATACTGTAAAAGATCAGAGAAAACGTGCTGGTGTGCTACAATATAGTTCTGAAAAGGTGTATAAAATCATTGTAACATGATTCATGTTTAACATAAACCTTAACATCCCTGTCTTTGTAAGGTACTGTAGATACCTTCCTCTTGTTCGTACCACTACACACTTCAGCAATAATTTGAGTACACAAGGCAAGCTTGACTTGAAACAAACACATGGTGGACCTGAGCTTAAACCAAATGCTTGAATTGATAGTTTTGGTGGATGGGTTCAGCACAAGCTATAATTGTTAATGATGCCTTTACAACAGGCATCTTTTTTTAAAGTTCCATTTGTTTCTTAAAGATCATTTTCAGAATCGTCTGTGACCTAGAATATCGGAAGGTAGCTTGTTTCATACTCACATAACGTTTTTGTGTAATAAAATACCTCTGTGAAATGTTTAGAAGTGTATCTTTGTAGTTTCTACTGTTGTTGCCCTGTTGAATTTGAACACAGCCATAGAATGGATTGTATCAAGGCCCTGATGATTTTGAATATTTGAGTCAGTTCCCTTATAGTCTTATCTGTTCAAAACTGGAAAGCCAGTTCTTTTAGTCTGTCAGTGTGGGGCATTCCTTTGAGGCCAGGAATGATTCTGGCTGCTCACCTAAGTGAATTCCAGAATAGAAATATCTTTTTTGTTTCTGCATGGCATGGCAATCATGGCAATTCTGCACTGATTTATAAATAAAATCTTTTAGAGTAATATCCCTTGATTTTAATTGGACACTTTATATATATATACACTGTATAATGTATACGGTATGTATATCTTACCATTTTGTTTCCCCTTATTTGTTGCTTCCCCACATAACCTGTTTCTACTACTACCAATTACGTCTCTACAAAATATAATAGGTATGATTATTTTCAAGCATGACATTAACCATTTTAGGTATTTTGTTTTTGCTTCCTGCATAGAACATGTAAATTTGGTTTAAGACCTTTTGAATTTTATGTTTGGTAATCATCCTAGTTTAGTATCACTTGTGAACATAACTAGTTTGCTAGCTAAATCAAAGTATCAAAGATCATTAACATAAACGAGAGCAGTGGTCTTAATACAGATCCCTGTAATACTTTATTAATTACATCATCCGGTTTTGGGCATTTATTGTACTTCATCACTTCAGTTTGAGCATTTGTATCTTCTATTTCCTATTTCTATTTCCATCACCTACAATTTGAGAATTAAGGCTGTGAGCAATTCTAGCAAAAGCCTTCTGAAAATCTAAATCTAATGTTTAAAGTAGACATGTTTATAACCATTGCAACTGTTGCCTATCCACAGAAGTCTGACACATTTTTTAAAAAAGGGTTATCTTTTCTAAATCCGTGTTGACTCATCCCATGAATCCTGATACCCTCCATACAAATTACCCTCCAATACAGTTGTAATTATTGTTTACATAAGATTACATTTAAAGGAAGTGAGACTAATTGATCTGTAATCACTTGCTTAAATTTTGTTACCCTTCTATGATTGGGCACTACAGCAATTTTTAAGTCAGTAGGTAGAAATTAGACACTTTTGAGTGACCTCCAGAAGAGTTTTGTTAATGTCCACCTGTTTCCTTAAGTAAAGCTGGTAGAATACCATCATGCCCTAGAGAATTGACTGACTTAAGTGCTTTTCTTACCTGAATCACTTCTGGCTCTTCTGTGCTAATATTACAGTAAATATGGTTTCCATAGCTTGTAGAATTTTATCTGTTTCTTCTTTGGTAAGCAGCTGAATGAAACATTAATTTAATACATCAACCATTTCAATGCCATCACCTAAAAGTATCCCATATTGTATCTGAGACACTTTGTTTTTTTTTCTTGTGATATTGAAAAGACTTGCTTGTTCTGTTCTTTGTTTGGTGCTTTATAGAGTACTTTCTTTCTCCTTAACTTCTTTTTGATTTAACAACCGAGCCACTGCTTTCCTGATTATGTTTTTACTTAATAATTAGAATAATCTGTTTTCAAATGTGCTTAGGTGCTTTTCTTAACGTGTTGTCATGTATTATTTACTGATTAAATATCTATATTAATTTTGGGTGTAGGTACCTCTAAGGTACACTTTAAACTAAAGCATAACAAATTATGAGCCCTAATGGTTTTTCACCAATATTTTCCTTATGCTGTCTTGATTGAGAAGATGAAATCAATATAAGCATTTAGTCTAGTAGGTGTTCTGACAAACAAGAAAAGAGTCATTATCTGTATCTACCATTTCAATTTTAGTGGTTGACATTCCTATTGGTTTTTCCAAACTGAGTGAAGATTGTTCCCATCAGAACCGCTTTTTCTTTTAAAAATATTTTTACAATTTTAAAATAATTAAGCCATTTAAAAAAATAAAAGTAAAATACATACAAAATTGAGAGGAAATACAACTATAAAACTTAAAGTACATCATCAGATATTGAATATATTCTTCCCTTATGTAATACTCCCCCCAAAATATTAAAATCACAAAGTCCTGTCAAAGTCTAAGATTAAAAGCAGAAAAACTCCTCTCCTGTGTGAGCTGGACCCAAATGAGCCAATTAATTATCATGTCACAAACTGCTTTTGGCCAATCAGTGCCTTGCTGACTTGATAATTATTTTAATTTATAGAAATTTCACAATTGATTAAATTCTTAAAAAGGACTATTAATTACTATTAATTCTGAATCACAAATCTAGCACAAGCACATCAATCATGATGTTGTTAAATATATTTTGAGGTGTATACAGTATGTGAATGTGGTTTAGGTTTAAGGTCCAAGTTCTAATTTATGTTATGTACAGTTTCTATGTCCCAGTTTTGTGCAAGTTTCACTTAATGTAAAATTGTCAGGACCCTTTTGTTTCTGATAGCACGAAGTAAAGAATGCCTACATGCTTCTTATAATTTTCTCTTTTCCTACCACGTTTCTTGTATATACAGTATAAAGCTTTAATCAGTTGTGAATCTGCATCAGCCCTGTTACCTCACAACATATCCTTTGCATCTTAATGACAATTTTTTGTGAAATAATTTTGCCTATGCTTTATCTTAGTTACTGTAATTACTTAATAAGAGTAGTAATAATTTGCTTAACAGATTCCCTCATTTATGGAACATTACAATATCCAAATGAGTTTTACAATAGGGCTATGTACAGAGAGCAATCATACATGTACATTAAAATAAATTAATAATTTGATCATGTTCATGCAAGCTGGACGTAGCCTACAAGGATTGTGGAAGTCTACAGTATATGCTCTAAAATAGCATGAAATAAAGCAGTACACAGCGAGGGTACAAAGTAGTAATAAAGACAGTCTGATAGCCTATATTGTTATGTTTATTGTTAATAAGTGCCATAAGCAAATTTCATTGTCACTTTTGGCAACGCACACATTGGCAAATCTCATTGCCAAGACATCATTCCCTTAGTCTTTTAAAGTTTGCATATACTGTAGCCTAAATTGTTCTATCTTTGCTGTGAATGTATCTAAACCAATCGGCAATAAAAAATACAGACCTTGTTCCCAGAAGGCTTTTATGAAGCAATGGGTGATAAATGGGCGATAATGTACGTATACACAAATGGCGATGAGAGCACAATCACAGCAAGGCCCTTTCAGAACTAAAGGGTGTGGCATGATAAGATCCAGCCCACCATTCCTTGGAAAGGATCACATCCACCCCTATCCCTGAAGGTTTGGATACGAGATGGGAATATATGGTAAAAAAAACAGATGAAAATATGAAAAACTCACTTGGACTGTGAATTATCAGTCAGTTTTAGTAGGGAAAGTAAAGGAGCCACACTGGAGTATTTTGTACGTATCTTTCACATTCCAGTCCCATGACTAGCCTTCTGACATTTCCGTGCAGACGTTTTGTTGGGAATCTTTTTAGATTGTGTGCCAAGTTTTGATGGCTGTTCTCCCACCTGTACTACGGCCAACCACCCCCAGCCCTTTTCTTTATAGACAGTTACTATAAATAAAATAACTGCCATCTGAGAGTGTTAAGAAATACTAGGCTCGTGGACGCTTCTCTCATGGCACACTGATAAGAGGGTGAAGAGGCTGATTCTGGAGGTGTTAGCTTGAATCCCAATGTCTCACAGTGTGGCTTGAAAACCATGCACCAAGTCATTTTGACTGTAGGCAATGGTTTTTATTGGGTTTATGAGACAGGGTCAGTACTAATAAAACCAAAAAATCATAGAAAATAAATGTGCTGGCTGAACTTGCTGTCCTAAATCCTAATATTACCTCATATTCCCTCAATTGTTCCTCTCATAATCCAGCAAAGAAATAAGAAAAAGAAGGTTTACAATCATGTGAAGTCTGCTTATTATTTTTCAGAATTGTGGTCTGTTACTCACAGATCAGTTGCATGCATTGAAGTTTTGCTTTTGTTTTTGAAAAGAAGCCATTGAAACTATAGGCCACTTTTTACCAAGCAGTTGCTGACAATAATGTGATAGGCTACTTGGAATATTATTGTGTTTTTTTTTATATTGTATATCTTAAAGTCATAGATGATGTTTATTTCTATAACTGGCAATGCTTATAGCATGCATTCACTCTAGTTTCCTTTTGGGTTTATTTGCTCATTAACTTGAAATTAATTTTCCCTTACATGAAACAGGATGATTATCACTCCTTTTAAAGCCAGTGGCTTTTTATCATGACATATCAGTAAGTGCTATTCAAGTAAATTGAGATAGGATGTCGGCATTCACAAAAAGTGAATAAATGTATACATTTATCCTGTTCTTTATTTTGGGGGATCAAAAAATGTTTTATTCCACACAATAATCCCCAGCCTTTTGCATATTACACCTTCTCAGTTAATTTCTAAACAAAAGAAATGCAACAAGACACATTAGTACTGTATTTGTTTTCTTAGTAGCAGACAATAAATTCTGTCTTTAATTAATTTTCTTGTTTTTGTACAGTTTGTTTCACTAATTCACTGTTGCTCAGTCCATTCACAGCCACCCATTTGCCATGGTGTAGTGTTAATATTATAAATCAATAAATACATATTTTAAATGGATCAAGTTTATATTAGTCATATACAGTAAACTAAAAATAGTTATACTGTACATGTGAACAGGGAACACAAAACATAGATAATAGGAAACATATTCAATACATAATTGATTAGTTACCTTTGTGGATGCATAGATTAGAATGTAATAATTATTTGTATATTTGTCAATTTATTAAGTCATAAAGATTTCTTATTTAATTATAAAAACGTGCTTTAATTTCTCATGGCACTGGAAAACTCCAGTTCAGCCAATGTTATTGGTAACCAAATCACCAAAGACCTGAAACGATTTAACTTTGGTCAGTTAAAGGAAGATTTAATAAATATAACAATTTAGAAATTAGAAATGTCACAAAAATCACAATGTGCTTTATCTTTCATGGACCAATGTAGACCTTGCATCCATAATTTATCAATAACCTCAAAATGTTCCTAATCTTTAAAATAGCATGTGATTTTGGGTGAGCTACTGTATAAGACCTACTGAATAAGTATACAGGTTTATAAGGTATAGCACTGTCTATCCTTGCTAATGATTTTCTTCATTCTTTTTTTATGGTTTATATTTAGTATTGATTGACAGTTGACCTGACATTATTGTAGGGGTGGCACCTTTACCCATGCAGCCCTTAGACAGATATACCATAGTGAGCAGGCCATTATACTGTAAATGTCCTTATTTGATTAAATAAAGCTCTACATAATGTAAGACATATTTGGGTTAACATATTCAGTATTTTGTATTCTATGTTCTTTTTTAGGTTTGTTTTTACTGTGGCAATTTGTTTAGTGTGACAGAAGTTTTATTTAATCTCTTACTCAGGGGAAAGTGAGGTGTGGATGGCTGAGGAAAGAATGCAGGCTTGCACTGTATCCATTCTTCTTTTTTTTCTGCTAGTTTATATACTAGCAGATAATCGGCCAGTGAAAGCTCTATTTTCCTTCATCTGAATGCCTAAAACCCTAAGCCGAACCCAGGATTTTACAATAACTTTCTGGGTATTGACATGCATTATCTAGAAAAGATGTACAGTAATGAGCAACTATTTTCCTTCTGCTTCAATTTGTGTATGAAACCTGAAATCCTGTGTGACAAGTCATCCACTGTTGAGGTTTGAACACGTGCTCCCTTCAGAGACGTATGTAAAGTGTATTTCAAGGCATCAGGAAGCTTGCTCTTCAGAGTTGAAAAGAAACATGAATTATATAAACTTTTGAGCTACATCACCTTTATATAATCTGATTTTATAAGTCATTATCTTTTAACTTAATAAAATGTTAGGTATCACTCCAGATCTCTCTTTGTGAGGTACTGCAGCTAGCATTGCGGTTGAATCAAAATAAAGCACAGATCTTGGAGAGACTAGCTTGAGAATGTAGGCAACATATTCTCCGTCTGTCTGAATCTACACTTCCTGCCTTTTCTGTTTACTCATTTCTATGGGTAACAGGGTCCTGATTGCATGCTACCATTGTATTTTTGTATAACGCAATCTACTGTCTATGTGACACAGCACACTATGAATTTGAAGCAAAGTCTCTAAGTAATCTTTCACCAAGTTCCACATTTTATTAAAACGATTAAATGTACACCTACAGAAATATTCAATGCAATAAGTATATTCAGCTGCCAGGGCTGTGAATTCAAATAAAGTGTGCATTTTATTTTTGCCATTCCAGAAAAAAGATTTCAGTTTTATGGAATATTTCCTTGTAAAATACTTTTAAGTGCAATAATTGATCAACTATGAACATGTGATTGTATATACAGTATATGCTGTATATCACTGGTTTTGAAAATAAATGTTCACATATTCCTTAACTGACCTTTTTACATTGTTCAGTCTCTTTATAATGTGCACTATTTTGACCAACTGTGTGTTCATGGCCATGTCTGAACCAGCACAATGGGCCAAATATGTTGAGTAAGTATGTATTTTATTTATTTGATGTATTTCTGTGCCTTACACTGCCACATTTTCTTTATAAAAATATTCTTTGAAATATTTTCTGTTCTTTGCTATTTCCTAATGTACTTCAGCTATATTGACCTTTGAACTGTGCCCTATTTGTCCTGATACAAAGCTTTGCCAGGTGTTTGTTGCCTTGTGAACATCAATTAGCAAGTAAGTTAACAATTTGTCTCTCCAGTTCATAACTTTGCTAACTGCACTTGCTATGCTACATTGGAATGAAATCGTGGTATGATGTAACATACCATTATGCCTTACAGAATTTTCATTAAAGGGACTTTGAAGAGAATACAAAATTTGGCAAGATTCTATTTATCGGAAAAAGTAAACATGGGTTATATCCATAATCTATTAATTATGGTGATGATAAAAAGCATGGCATGTACTGTAACTACAGTAAATTTGTGCAGCTATTATATACATAAATCAAATTTAATTCCAGCTTGACAGGGGACTTTCTAAAATAAAGATCTTAGACTTATTTTCTTAAGTTGAATAGTTGGAGACATACAATTAATTAACCTGGTTTACAATACTAAAAGTAAAGCTTAGAATCTTCAATTTTACAGTCATTTACATTCCACATTTGAACAGACAAAATATTTGACTTGCGACATTATACTTGATGTAACCCATTTGATGATGGTAGCTCTTGAAGTTTTTTAAATGAAGCAGCACCAACATGGTGTATGCAGGATCTGTCATGAACCATTCGCTCAGTCTAAAGCGAGCAAGACTCTGCTTTTTTCCTTTAATGAAGAGAGACTTTTGTCTTACAGTGTTTCTGAACTGTCAAATGACATTGGAAGATTGTATTTGGGGTGAGGGGGAGAAGGGTTCATAGGCACTTAGCATGAGATAAATCTCCCAAACCATTATCTTCTCCATTTTGGAGAGCAGAACGTACCTCTCAGCACTTCATGACAGACCACAGTGAATGATTTGCAATTAGTGGCTGTCATCTAAAACCACATTGGCAAAATCAGAGCTATATTTTAAGTTACCTCCTATCAAGAGATACTGTATGAACTCAAGATCTGTAATCAGGCTTCTTACTAGAACAAAGGCCCTACGATAGGAACAAAAAATTACATTTCAAAAAGTGAACTTCATCATCTCAGCAGAAGGAAATGTTTCATTTCATCCTTGAAATTGCACATACTGTATTTTATTCTTTAAAAATATGGATTTATGGAGTTGAGATGAACGGGACAAAACTAGCGGCCTTATGTATAGCATCTACTCGCTAAAAAGTAGCATTCTTAGAATGCATGGAGTTGAGAGGTATGATCAAAAACCACTTTTCGAAAATTAATTTTTTTTATGTATAAAAATGAGAAATAAGGCCATGCAAAACAGAATGCTTCATTATTCATTTTCCATCAACTTGGCTAAATTATGATTTTGATTTGAAAGTGATTTGTTGGGTCAATGTCCATTCTTGGCTTGATGACTACCAGCTCATCAAGGGATAATGTTACCAAGCTTGCAATTCATTACTCGGAGGCTGAGAATTACACATGCTTACCACCACATTGTATCATGTACTGTATTGCTGGAACCATACCTGGGGGCAGCTCACACAAAAATAAAGTGGATGGAATGCGCCTCGTCCCCATTCCATTGACTGCTAATGCTCTCCATTTTGTTTCCAAACGCTTCACTCAGGTACACTTTCACTGGCATTTACACTTTTGAATCACTGATTAAAATTCTGGCGAGAGGATTCTGCATTGGGCCTTTCACCTTTCTGCGTGACCCATGGAACTGGCTGGATTTCAGTGTTATTGTGATGGCGTAAGTATATCCCCAAATGTGTTTTTTTCCAGAGACTAACCTGTGTCCTTTCCCTTTCCTCCTATTTTTCCTATATTTACCCCTAACACTTCACATGCATTTTGGAAGGACAGTGCTGTACATAAACGTTTTGTAGAGATGATTTTGTAGAATAGTTAGAATACATTCCTTGTGTGCTTTCCTAAGTAGTCTTACAAAAGGCACACAAAATCATCCAAGGACCTTATACCCCTGATATTTGAAAGCTCTGAATGTTTTCTCACTTGCAAATTCCAAATCCTCTACTCTGTCTTTCCTTTTCTAGACCTCTGATATTTCCTGTGAAAAGTATTTTTCATGTTTTGGGGAAAAAAATGTATCAGGAAATAATAGCTTGCTGATTTTTTATCTCTTTTTTAATCTATCCATCTGTTTTCAAACTCCTTCATCCATTTTGGGGTTTCAGGGGAGCAATGGACACCAGTCCATTAGAGGGCAGACAGGCGCAGACACTCACACCAGTCAATTTTTCTAGAAGCCAGTATGTCTTTGGACAGACAGAGAAAACCCACACAAACACAGGGGGCACATACAAACTCCATGAAAATAGCAACCCTGGTCTGAAATAGAATCCAGGGCCCAAGCTCTGAAAGGCAGCAATGCTAACCACTGGAACACCGTGTTACAAATATCTATTTTGTGATATGCATCATTAACAAAAATGCCTTTTTCTCAATACAAAGGTCACCAATTCGGATTCCTCTTTTTATATTGAGAATTGATGATAGTCTTCGCTATAACTGCATTTACAATATCTGGTACACTAGAAACAGCAGGACGTTTGAGAACGTCCCAAAGTTTATGTGATAAAATTGATATTGCTGCATTAATAATGTTTTGAGGTAATGAGTTATATCCTCTCTTTTATGCTAAAACCATTTTAGTTTAAGTGCTAGAAAGAAACATCTCATTTCAGGATTTTAGCTGTCTTAAAATGACACGCATATCACAACACTTTAAGATTATGCAAATATGATAACTCCAGAAGGTTGAGTAAAATGATTAGCATTGCATTATTTGATTTCATGCAGTATTAAAAAAGACACAAATATCAACCCTTTAAGATAATGCAAGCTTGATAACTCCAGAAGGTTAATTAAAACTATTATTTATTTGTCTTCCTAACTATTGCAGCTACAGTACTTTTTTCAGTAAAAAGATAGATTTGTAATTAAAAAAAAATAAACAGTTTGATAATAATAATACCACATAAAGATTTTTCACTGTACCACAATACATGTTTGTCAGAACCATCCACCATTTTTACCATTAAAGGTCTCACTGTGCCTACAGGAATATTTACATCAACTGATGACAACCTGCAAGTCCCAGTGCTCACTTCTGCGCAATAAGCTAAAGATATCCTGTCCAGCTCTAGCCCATTTCTCCCCTGGAGCACTTGGTTAACTGTGTACCACAGCCTAGGGAGTGCTGATCATGCTGCCTTACGTCTAAAGTACAAGTCTGAACCTAGTCCTGTCTGATCAACTTCCCTGGTCAAGGATCTTGAAGCAGTGCAAGCTCTTATTTCCTAACATTTTTAATGCAACCTACAGTACAGTAAATGTCTTAAATGTGATTTCTTATTTGCATGGTGTCTTTTGATTTGATATCCTGCAATATACAGTACATCATATTAAGTTTGCTTGCCATCATCTGATAAGAAATAATAATAAAATACAAGTAAACATGTATACTGTAGCGAAACTCATCCATATTCTTTTCAAGGGATTATAAATCAAAAGACATCAATGTAATAGCACAATGGGCTTTAAAGTACCCTTGATTATTAGTCGGTTCACAGTGCACTTGGAAATTCTACCTTCATCAGATTCTGTATTTATGTATTTAAAAATTATGAAAAGAAATAAAAAAAGAAAGGTGTATATACTCCGACATTTAGAGTTAGTTTATAATCACCAGTTTTAAATATTTGCTAGTTGGACAAAACTGGTCCTTTAGTTGTGTACCTGGAATTGTGGAGACTTGTTGGATTAAATCTGGTATAGTGGCTTTTTATAATTGTCTCCTCCCTTTAAAAAGCAACATGTAAAATAATGAAAATGCTTGCTATATTTATTTTAGTAGTTGCAAATATATATTAAAGCTCAAGACATCTTCTGTTACTAATCCACTGATAGCCAATAGCAGCTTTATGATGCTCTACGAGTGCAGCTCTGAGCCACTCATTTGTAATTTTTGGAAACTCAATTCAGACTCATTCTTTAAGGGCTTGTATGCTGGAAGGATGATAACTCTAAATATGTCAAATACTGTACATTGTATTGATGTTTGCTTTTAAACATTTATTTCTTCCACAGTCTACTGTGCCTTTAAATTAAAATAAACAAAACACAGCAGTAAAACATGTATAGCTTGGATTAAGTTCTCTTTTGTGCATTAGATATGTAGTGCAGAATAGGAAAGGCCAAAGACATTCAAGAATTTAATTTAAGAAACATTGACAGAAGAGAGCCCAAAGGAGGAACTTTCTTAGCAAAATCCATCAAATAAAAAATAATTCAAATGTTGTTATATAGGGCAAATATAACATGAAAAAGGAAACTCCTAAACACTGAAATGTGAAAAACTCACATTTTTATGGCAAAACAAGATCCAATTTTTTCCAAACGTCTTTGGTCAGAAACTTTCATCAGAGCTCTACATTGCTTCATGCAAAAACAAGTACTGAATTTGCTGTTTACGGCAAATATGATAGTATGTGTATGAAATATTTGTGAGTTATGATTTTTTGCTGTATTTTGTGAAACTATATTTTTTATTATTCTAATTAATTTGTATAAAATTTCTCTTACATAAATTCTGATTAGATTGGGGATGTTTCTCTTTGTATAATGTTCAGCTACAATAAGTAAGTATAACTAGTTTAATTAGTTGTTTTGAGAATTATTGTTTCTGATGAAGTTTCTGATCAAAATGCCAAGTCCTGTTTTTCTACAATAAAATTATAGAGGGGACTTTTTTTTTCATTTACTGTAACAAGTACCTGTGAAGATTTCACTTCCAAACTTAGTTTTAGAGAAACTATAGATCACACACGTCCCAGAAAACATGCAGATCAGTGTGTTTCACTGAGAAGCTCAAGAAACCTGCAGCACTCATGAAGATATTCTAAATAAATTTGATTCGATTAGCTACAGTATATCACACGCATTGTCAACATAAAGGACAGCCTTTCTCAGTACTTTTTCAATCATGGAAAAAGTTTAATAAAATTGAATGCATGTTGTTCTACTGTACATAGTCAAATTATAATTGAATGCCATAAAAATAGCATGGGTTCTCCTTTGAGGATAATGTGGATTCCCAGTCAGCTCTGGTGTTGTTGTTTTTTTTGTTAAAAATCACTTTTGTCCTTGAGCTTAATTCCACAGTGGTCCTGCTGAGTTCTCAGCAGGACCAAAGAACACTAGGCATTCACCTTCTGAAATATCAAAATATTTTTATGCCTGGACTTCAGGCTGATGTAAATAACAAGCGATACAAACATCAGAAAACACATTTTGGAGTAACTGTATATAAGTTTGTCTCCTTTCTAATAGGTTATGTTTGAGATTGTACAGTATACCATATCTAACAGGCCATGTCATTTAATAATGTTGAGGCTTTTATACATAGTATCACTTGGACATTAGAATACAGTTCTCATTTACAAACTGCCAAATTATCCTTTTCTAAAATTTAATTAGTGTAATGTTCAAATCAGATGAAATCACACATGCTAATATACTCAGTTGTGTCTTGATCCTTTGATCTGCCTTCCACATTTACAGCAGCTGTCTGGATGTGTCTACACTAGTTGAGCATACAGTATATCTACTATCAACATTTTTCTGCCGTTTTTGTACTATTCTCAAAGGGTACGTTCAAGCCTTAGGGGCTTGTTGTCCTTGTTGCATTCTTCAAAATAACTTTAATTTGATCCTGCAGGTATCTAACAGAGTTTGTAAAAGTAGGCAATCTTTCAGCTCTTCGAACATTCAGAGTCCTGAGAGCTTTGAAAACTATTTCTGTAATTCCAGGTAAGGCATTCCAGTGTCCAGAATCAGGTTGCATTGCTGCTGTTGTCCAGTCAGATTTGCTTCATACCCCTTTCTCCCTTTCCCTCACTTCTTCTCCTTGAAACCCCAAATCATCCCACACTCCCAATGTCCTCAGTATGTTTGCCTGGTTTATGGCGCACCGTCATTGTTTGCGTGTGACTCTCGCTTATTGCAGATATGTTACTGAATTTGTGGACCTGGGCAATGTCTCAGCATTAAGAACATTCAGAGTACTCCGAGCACTGAAAACTATCTCTGTCATTCCAGGTGAGAAAGGAGTTAAACACTAAGGCTGCCTTAAAAGAAGCCTACATGCCATTTCCTTTCAACTGTAACTGAAACTAATCAAGTGTTTTCCAAATGGAAATGCAAAAAGATGTAGGAAATGAGACCTGTAAATAGCATAACGTTTAAGAATAATGATACAAACTGAACTCTGTCTCTCCAGTAAATAATTTAATAATTAACTGACTGAGCAAGTTACTAATAACAGTCAAATTAAATTTTAAATGTAAAAAAATGTTTCTTGTTGAATGGGGTGCAAAACAAGCGCTGTTTCATGTTTACAGACCTGACATTAGAGATTGCATCAGTATTTATCATTAAATAAAATTGAAATTTAAACAAGGCAGTATTAGGTTTCTGTCAGTTTTGCATTTTAAAAAATGCAAAATGAAAACAATGTTGATTGCTTTTACATTCTATTTAAAGACTATGTTGATTTATTTAACAAACACAATAAGACATGTCTATGTTACTTACATATCCAATAAAACAAACTGTACAGTGGTATGACCTCCTTTTGTGAGGAGTTTGCATGATCTTCCCACCATCTAGGGTATTGCCACAATTTGGTTCAAGGATAGTTTCCAGGTGGTTCTGACCTTTAGCAAGAATAAGTGACATTCTGATAAATGTTGGATGGGCAGATAGGTGCATAAAACCAATAAATAAATTGTAAATTGAACAGCAGCAGTTAAACCACATTGTACACATTGCGATCTTGTAGACTGATGTGACACTTCCCCATGGACCAAAAGTTCCAAGACAGTATAGTGACAGGCACCTTGTGCTTTAGGACATTCTCTTTCAAATGAGATAAAATCACATAGTACTTTTCAAAAGACTAAGAGTTTTAACCCCAGAGTCGATGTTAAATCCCACTCTGGATTTTAGGGAACAGGATTCAGAAAAACTTCCATTAATTCAATTCACTTTTCCACTTTAACTGCTGTGTAGTGTTACCCAGGTGGGTGCTATATTTTAGTGGTGAATGATGTACTTCTTTATGTAAAGTACTTTGGAACCCTTTTAATGAAATGCACTATACAGCATGAAACAATGTGTCCTATTTGTTACTACATAAATGGAGAGTCTCGAAGGATTTATAGTATGCTATATTGTGGTACAAAAATATTAGGAATAAAACCATTATTTTTAATAATTAATTGTGTTTTGGTATCTTTGACGCATTTGTTATCTATGAACAGGTCTCATTCAACCTTAGTGTTTAACATCTAACCGGCATGGCTAGTTAGAGAGTTATCGGAGTTTGCATGGAAACTCTGTAGTAGGCCATTCACACCAGACGTTGGCAAGAGTAAGCATACTTAATCCTGCCTAAAATATAAGCAATTTGCAATCTGTTATTCAATCTGTTACTTATGTATATGAAGTTCAGAATACTGTCATCTTTAATAAAAAAAATCCTCTGTGTTATATAGTCAGGATTTCCTGGAAGTGCTGTGTAACACAACCCATGAATGGGTCAGAAGGCTCATTTGTATTTTTTCTTATTCATAGAAGAAAAACAAATTGTAATGGTATGTAAACTAATTTTATTCATACCTTTATGTGGAAGAAATTCATTCTCTGGTGGCTGGTAATACTGCAAAAATCAAGAAATGGCATTAAGATGGTTAAAGCAGGGAAGGCTGTATACAAAATATTGCTGTTCAGTTTGTCCCCTGTGTTAAACATGGTGAGACGTAAAGTATGTGAGAAATAGGGGTGTCACTGGTTTCAAGATCTTATTTAAATCGTAACTATTCAATTAAGCCTCTTGTTGAGTGATCTCCATAATCAGGCTTCTGCCACACAACTGTGTAGTTTCTAAATTCTGACCACTTCAGTCTGGTTTTCCTGAAATCTGCTTTACTCCACACTGAAAAGATCCATTTCTTTTTATCTATCTGTATTCAAAACCCAGTTCAGTCCTGATATCATTCTCTTTCCAGTGCTAGTTGTCTGAATTGCGATGAACAGAATTATGCACACATATATATGAAGCTGCACCAGCTCATTACACAGTTTTTGTATAAGAATATCAGAACAAACGTGTGGAAAAATAAATTCAATAAATTTAATTCAGAGTTTCAAAATATTAAAACGTGCAGTTGCAAAAAGAGATATGAATATAAATAATAAAAACAATGAATTAGTATTCTTTTTTACATTTGTACCTTATCATAAAACCTTGAAACAATTGTAATAGTTTGTGATAATATGACTCAACAAGATTATTTTACAAAGCTTGACTTTTAAATTTAAAAAAAATCCTGTCATCAGTCCCTTTCCTAGTAACTCACAAGAACGTTTTAGTACCACTGAAGAAAACATTGTTCTTTTATTTCTTGTCAGCGTCTGCTGTGAACTAGTGTAAATTGTTAATTAACATAATAATGTTAATTACTCACAGAGAAAATAAGGAAGATGTTTTGTAGAACATTTTCTGTAGGGGAGTCAGTGTTGGCTTTCTCTGTGTGTTGTTTTTGTGTTTATTTGTTGTAGTTGTTGCTGTGATGTTGTGGTGATGCATGCTACAGTATATAACTCATTCGTGTGAATGTAATAATAAGAAATGTGTATATAGTAATAAAAAAACTTTTAATGATATTGTTAGAAACGTTTGGTCTGGTATATATCCTTTCTTTAAAATGCAGCTCAGCATCATGCTAATATATAGAAACATGTTATTGAATAAATTTTCATTTTTAAATAAATGAAGTACAGTATAGCATGAATGAACTAGTTCATAAAACGGAAGTTGCCAAAATAATTCTTAGCGTATTTATGAAATAAAATGTTCCCTGATCCCCAATTCTGAAGTAGCAGAAATTGTATAGACTCTTTGCCAGAAACTATATGTGTATATTTTATGTGTTATTACAGTTTTACCTTAAACATGAAGACACAGTTTTGTTTTTCCTTTATTTATAGTTCTGTAACTCAAAAATAATCTGTGCTGGAAGCTCCTGACCTAAGATTTCTTTATAGTTATTTTTAATGGATTGTGATGAATCTAAACAGATACATACATAATCTACTAGATAATTACAATAAATGGTGCCTTCTAAGATAACTGGATAACACTGAGATGTAAAATAGTTGAAAAATGAAACATAAATGTACTGTGATGTAAAATTGTCATCATAAGAAATTAAATCTGTCTGAACTTGCTGTAACTCAAGAGGTACACAACAGCTTATATCGTATACATTAAAACCTCAATATAAATCAGTAACCCCAGAATTCAAACATATATCAAACTTTGCCTACTTCATGTCTAGATTGAATTTAGTTCCCTTTAGCATTTGTCATATTCTCAAACCTAACTAAAAGTATCAAAATGTAAACAGAAACAAATATTTTAGTCTTGATTAACATTATAAAGTGCACTCCAGATGTATTCTTAGCTCTGAGGAAACAGGAACCAAAAGCATCAGATAGTAGAATGAGATAAGATAAGATCACTTTATTAGCCATATACAATTTCTTGCATTAGGAATTTGTCTTTTTCACATACCCCAGCTTGCTCTCCATGAGGCACACAGGCGGGGAGATAGAGGCTTGGGGTCAGAGTGCAGGCTTACGGATGTGTCTCACTTTGAAAAATGTACTGTAATCGCTATTGCATTGTACAGAGCAAAATCATATTTATCATAAATAATTGAAAGAAGTTCACATTTATTCATACCTCTAAGAATTCCTTTAAATAAAATTAAACTTATAAAAATTAACAGTAACATTTTGCATTTTAGAAGAGGAATGGATTCCTTTAGTACTACACTCTTTCCGAAGGTTTCCGTTTCCCTGGGGTGTAAACGTAGGTGATACAAGAAAAAACGTTCAGGAGTAGCATTATCACCATTAAGATCTGAGAGTTCTTTGACGACTGTAAAAATACCACAAGTTAGGGAATGGCTATAAAGTAGTCTACATAAAGATTAATTTGCTGCTGTACACATTTGTAGAAATTTAAAGCTACTGGTATAACGGCAGCTCTTATAGGAATTGGACATGAGTCTCTCTTCCTACCACTGTCTGTGAAGCAATTGGTTTGTGAGGCTGCTGTGAATCCAAACATAACACCAATGAGCATGTGCAAAAAGCTTAATTTCACCTGACCATAAGGCATTGTTTCAATTGTCATTTAAAAGATGTTAAACAGTTGGACATCATTAATACACACTGGCATCTCCAGGATACAAAGTGTCAGCAGCTGTTATTTGACATTGCCTATATAAATGTGGTGTTCATGGCTGGGTTATAAGAAAGAGGCCTCGCTTGAAAGCATACAACAAAAAGAGGCGAATCAAATTTTCCAGACATCTTTTAAAAGACAAAACAAAATGTCTTATAGTCAGGTGAAATCAAGCTTTTTGGCCATGCTCATTGGTGTTATATTTGGCTTAAAAAATTAAACACATACTGTAATGGGAAAACATACATACTGTGAAATATTGGGGGTGTCTGTTATGTTTTGGGGGTGTTTTACACCTATCCTTGAAATCCATGTCAAGATAGGGGAAATCTTGAGTTTCACCACATATCTGCATATTTTGCCAAGACACCTGGATCTTTTTGAAACAAAGCTCTATCATGGCCAAAAATATACATTTGAGTGTCACAGTAATCCAAAGCATACATCCACATCAACAAAGGAATGGTTAACTGCACAAAAACAACTCACTTACCAG